AAAGACTATATGGTCAATGAGGGTATCATGTACCAGTTTTCCGCAATTGACGCTAAATGTATTTAGGTGTCAAATAGGAATAACAGAATTCCACTTAACATGGTTAGATCTATGATCAGCTATGCTACATTATCTCTTTCATTTAAGAGTTTAGCGTTAATGACATCGATGCGCATTATGAACTGCATTCCATCTTAGTCTGTCTCAAGGATACCGTTGAGCTATGTTTTTTTACTAAATATTAGTTTGAATCATATGCACATATGGGGTAGTCTTGCACATGTGCGCTTGATATGGACAAGTAAGTTGGAAGCAGATCATAGGCATGCTAGATTTGATAGCTATTCTAAATGTCACTAGGATGGATTATTTTATGATCTCAAAGATAAAAGTTGATTGTTTTCACTCACTGTTTATCTATAGGAGAATCATATTATGAATCACATACCTAGTAGCATAATGTTAGAGAATTTGGTATGAGTACCAGATGTACCACATGTGAACACACTTATTATAGAGATTGAGAATAATATATGAATTCCCTATTGATGCGTCAGCATCATCTAGTACACAGATTCCTTCATCGGTACATTGATGTAGTGGGAGGATAATTATCCAATCCAACAGAATTATGTTTTTAGGTGAGACCGTTATGGACATCCCTGTTAAACATGAGTTGGACCCAATAAGCTACACGGAAGCGTGAACCGATATGGATACAGATCGTTTTGGCGAGTTACTATGAAATCAGAGTTGGAATCTATGTATTCTAATAAATTCTGGGATCTTGTAGAACTTTCTAGTAGGGTGATTCCTATGGAAGACAAGTTAATCTACAAAAAGATACCAGAAGATTTCTTAGTGAATAAATCATGAGTGTACAAGGGAATGTCATTATTTTTCTAATTCTATATATATTGATGACATCCTACTCATTTAGAATGATGTGGAAGTTTGTCATCAATAAAGAGGTAGTTGTTCAATTACTTTTAAATGAAGGATTTTCAGGATGTAAACTAGATTCCTAGGATCAAGCTTTTGCAAGATCAGGTTAAAAGGAAAATAAGCTTATCTTAATAATCCTACATTGATAAAGTTTTGACCAGGTTTGGTATGCATAACTCAAAGAATGAGTTCTTGCTTTATTGATATGGATAGCTCTCTCTAGTAAGTAGTTTTTCAAGACTATCAAAGGAGATTGAGCAAATGAGACTGGAACAATATGTTTCAGCATATGAGAGTCTCATATATGCCATGGTCTATACCAAACAGGACATCCGCTACATAGTAGGGATAGTCAGTAGAGACCAGTCCAATACTGGACTTGACAACTGGTTTATTGTGAAAAATATCATTAAGTACCTAAGGAGAACCAATGATATCATATTCATTTATGGATGTGATGATATGGTCCTAGTCAGGTATGCTAGTTCTGATTTTCAATCAGAAGTAGATACTATGAGGTTCATGACTTAGTGTATGTTTACTTAATGGAAGGGAGATCAGTTGGTAGATTGTTAAGCAGATTTCAACTGCTGACTCAAACCTGTAGGTGGAATATATTGCAGCCTTAAAGGCGGCAAAGGAAGCCTATTAGTTTGATCTCACTGATTTAGAGGTTGTGGAGTATACTAGCCTGCCTATTGAGCTATGTTGTGACAATAGTGCAGAAGTAGTCCAAACCAATGACCCAAGGTTCCATAGAGGAACAAGATACACTGAGAGGAAGTATCATGTTCTACATGATATTGTCCGGCAAGAAAATGCACTTGTAGTTAGAACATTGCATTGGAACACAACTTTGTTGATCCATTATCAAAGGTGTCATTGATCAATAATTTTGATCATCATCTGGATAACATTGGAGTTAGGTACAATTTGAATTGGCTATGAGGGCAAGTGGAAGCTGTTGGGATTTATATGCCCTGGCATAACAAATTCCTATCTGTATGTTCCTGACATATCTGAAATATTTATGATTTATATAATTGGTGAATTCAATGTATTATGTTTCGATTCACTATGAAATTGATAGTGTCCATGTAATTACAAGAAATATTTATATATATGTATGTGATGGCAATCAATGCATGATATATAAATAGTAATTATAAATTGTTCATAGTCGGTAATTATGGATGGACTCATAATTAATTAAGACTTGAACTGGATTCGCGTTAGGTTGAGATATATTGCGAGAGCCGTCGTATGCAATTACTCCCTATCACCGTCATGGCATTTGACTCTTAAGCATGAGAAAAGTATAGACTCTTTTATTAATTAATAATTACTTTGATTTGTTCGGCGGATTCTTCGGGATCCTTAGACCGACACTTTGGGTAGTTATATAATTAATAGTTAGAGGGTTATATTTTCAATATTTGCATCATTGCTACTTGTATTTATTTTGTATTGATTATGGTTGATCACAAAGTAAATTCGAAGGCCTTCGTGTGTTTTTAGACAAAATGATTTATTATATATTTATTTATTTAAATTATTATTTTTTGTCAAACAAATGTTTTATTGTGATCAAGCCAGAAATAATCAAAGGTACCAAAATAAATATATTAATTAAGTAGTTGGATTGATGGCATTATTTATCCGATAACTAATTATGCATAGAGGGGTCAAAGTGCAATATTGACTTAGTGGTTATTTATTATTTAATTGGAGTTCAATTAATTTCTTTTAGTGGAGTAGAAATTAATTTATGAATTAATTGAATTGGGTCCATGGACCGGGCCAATTATTAATTCATTGTAACGAATAAAATAATAGGCCCAATGGATTCTCACTCATAGCCCAACTTGATATTGGAATCATATTAGATTTGAGACATATGAATTAGACATGGAGAAGGATTTGTTGTTTCCTTTTCTTTATTTTTATGTTGCCTATAAATATACATGGTCTATGTATATTTTAGGGTGTGATTTTTAATGAAAAGGAAAAAAGGAATTTATTTTCTCTCTCTAGAAAATTAGGGTTTATGTTCTCATCTAATGGAGGCTCCCACAAGCCTAATTTTTCAAGGTCATTCATGGAGGCTTATGAGTGATTCCTAAAGGCAAAACAATTACCAAGAAGATGGAGATCCAAGAAGAAGGCATCTTGCTAAGGGATCTACAATAAGTGAGAATATTCACTTTAGAGGAAAGTTTTAAAGGTTTACTCAGACCTTTGATGTAAGTATTCAATCTGTTAATTGAATGATACATCATATTTTTATTTTTGCGTAAAACTTGTCTCTATGTGATGAATCAAGATCTATGAATCAAAATCCCTCGAAAAGTTTTTAAAACTTGCACGTTTCCCAACAAATCTATCCCTAACAAATCTCATAGAGAGCTCACATGTAAAGGTGGCTTACCAGAAAAAGCAAGGTTGTGCTTCCACCCGGACAAACTGCAGCGAAGAGTTGCAACACTTCCACAGAAATATGTAGCAGAGAATATTTTATCAAAAATTTTGAGTGTATAGATAAAGACGCAAACCTGATTGACATCATGTCTCTAGCTTTGGATTGGAAGAAAACCAGACATAAGAACAAAAAATTCGTATGACCACATTTCCAATCTGAATCATATCACAGGATCACATTAGACTTTGCAGGGTTGGGGAGTTTGGAAAAGATGTACTTTATAATTAATTACTCATTTTGGTAAAAACATTAGAAATTGTAATGTTGGATATGTAGGAAGATTCAAACTCACCAGACCATAAGATTTGAAGGAATAGCTAATGATAGAAAGCCGACAATATTTTTCATACCCTCCTTAGAAAATCCGGCCCAAGACTTCTGACATGAAGGCGAAAACTTGATATAAATCGCCAAAATCAATACATTGATGCAATAAGAGATGGCATTGGACAGGGCAACACCTTTGTTGCCAAAGCCAACTCTAAGAACCAAAATCCAATAAACCAAGACATGAACTAAGCTCGTAAAACCTGTGCTTATCATCAATGGCTTTACACTATCTTGAGTCTGCAAGGACCTGAGTTGACACTGGAGGATGCCATAAGGGAAAATGCTAGGGATCAACCAACGAGTGAAATCGCCGAGTCTTGTCCACAACTAGTTAAAATGATTGGATTATATAATTATATACAGTATCCTAGGGAAGACATGATGATTAATTATAGGGCAAAGAACAGAATGAAACTACTCTATCACACACTAAAATTGAAGGATGCATTTGGTCACTAACACACGAATCATTAAAAAAAGACGGATCACCTACTGTTTCATCCATTAGTGACCTTCCTTGTTCAGACACTGAAGTTGGGCGGTGTCGTCATTGTCATTGGCATCAGTTGGCCCTATACCACATGCAACCATAAATAGAAATTCAAAGTCATAACCAGAGAACCATATTGACACACATTGGACCCAAACATCTATTAGCCTCCTTCACAAATTCAAAGGCATATATATTTAGAGAACCATCTAGTAGGCGAAAACCATATATGGACTTAATTGAGATCTTTGCTTGATATCTCAGTTTACGATTAATTTATTGAGCTGGAAAAATAAAAAATAAAAAATAAAAATTTATTGAGCTCTGACTAAATAGTTAATAAACATTATCGACTTGAATGGATGAATATGTATTTGTACAAAGCATTGTAACTTAGTTGTATTTTCTCAACGTTCTAAGGTAGAAGGTCAAAGCATTGTAACAATAATTCTAGAAGGTCTTTTGCGTCTCTTTGGCTTCTTTTTGGATGCTGACCGCCTTACAGAACTAGACCTCCTCAGCATTATTCTCACCTCTTATCAACATAGTTTCCTTTTATGTTGATAGGTTTTGTTACAGGATTAGGTTTCTTATTCTCTTAGTATCCTAATGGTATTAGGTTTCCTTATTATGTCCTTATGGTGTTAGGGTTCTTTATTATAAATACAGGTGGAGGTCGTTCATATTTCATATTGCTCTGTGAACGTAGACTTTCTAGGGTTAGGGATTTGGTTTTTGGCTTTGAGAGGCACAACCATGTTAGCTTCAAAGACGGTAGTGTTGAGAACTTCAGATGGCGAGACCTTCGAGGTGGAAGAGGCTGTGGCGTTGGAGTCGCAGACCATCAAGCACATGTGTAACGACTCAAAACTAATACTTTTTTTTAAAAAAAAAAAAAAAAAAAAAAAAATCGGCATGACCTCCCCTAAAAATAGGCCTATCACAACATGTTTAATTGCATTTTTAACCTGTCATGGCTCAAATTCCGAATTCACGGCAACAAAAGATAATGATACAACCAACTAATCTAGACAATGCTTCAAACTATGATTATCCATCCATTCATCAACAAGTTGCATACTATCAAATCCCCATCCAAAACATCATCAATACTTTAGTTATATTACATGACAAAGTTCCACAAAATAATTATACATCTTTGCACTTCTAGTGTTTTACAAAATAATGGGGAATATACAAAGATACAAAAGTGGACTTCTAACGCCGTTCAAGCTTGAGGTGGGTTGTCATCCACCAGTTCCTTTCCAAGACTTGAAAAAAATATATATAGATATAGGGGTGAGCATATAGCTCAGCAGGTGACACTTAAGACACAATTCTTGTGTCCTAGTGAATCCAAATAAAGCATAGGCCAATGGGAGATTGGGGACATGCATTGAAGGGGAAAAATAATTACAAGTACAAGTCAAATTCAATCACACACAAATGCAAATGGAGTGAGATGCAATGCATGCTAAAGTCACTCCCCGTTTTCATTCTCAAAACCATCACGTTCAAAGTTAATGTAACCCCCTTTGGTAACCCCGCCACGACGAGAGGAGGATTGGCTACCATCTCTAGGCCCTTGGTGACCCCGTGGCGCCGTCGAGGGGCCAGAATAGCTCAACCACGCTAGGTTACTCTCCCTAGTCCTCCCTAGGCCACATTAACCTCCAGCCCGTTGGTAACCCCGCAGCGACCGGGTTTGTCAAAACCAATTTTTTTTTCCAAAACATTCATTCCCAAATCCCCATTTTCATTTCAAGACAACCACTTCCCTTTTTCATGCAACCCAATGAGATGTAAGCTCATGTCATGATCTTAATATAATGACAAATGGGAACTTAGCACAATAATAAATAAGCAAGTTTTCATGGCATCATTATAGCATGTTAGTAACCTCAAAAAAAATGTAAACAACCATCATATAGACATACTTTTCATTCAACCATGTTATACACATTTACATAACTAGCATGTTGTCAATTAAATCATTTTAATCAAAATCAACAACAATTAAACATGCTATAACACACATAGATGAGCATGATTCATTATAGAGCAAGATTCCATGGCTTAAGATGTCCCTACCTCACAATCCAAGCCGAAATCCCTAGAATAGGTCCTCCAAATTCGAGCTCCAAGGAAGACTCAAATCTGGAAATTGATAGTATGGATGCGTAGAGCTCGCTACAAGCTTCGTTTCGCCTCAAACGGTTCCTAAATCCGATGAAAGATGATTGAGTAATCAAACCTCAAAGTTTTTGTCTCTAAAATGAAAGAAAAAGAGAAGGAACCGAGAGGGAAAGAGAGCACGGGAAAGAGAAAGAAAAGAAGATTTCTTGGCCAAATAAGTTAGTGGTGGGCCCCACTTGAAATTATTTTCCTTTTCTCTTTATTTTTTTGTCTCTAATTACACCACAAATACACAATTACACCATACAAATGCTACATCACCACATAAATTAAAATGTAGGAAATGTAACTGGACCCAACCACAAACCAGGATGGTAAAGTGAAAAGACGAAAATGCCCTTGCATTAACGAATTTTCAGAAAATTCTAAAATGCTGAAAATTAGAATTATCACAACATGATTGAAGATGATTGTGCCGATTCCGTTATTCCTCTACCAAACATAGCCAGCAAGATCTTACCCATGATCATCGAGTATTGCAAGAAGCACGTCGAGACTGCCAAGTCCGAAGACAAGACTTCCGATGCTTTCGAAACCTTTAAGGCAAACTTCGTCAAAGACGTCGACCAGGCCACTCTCTTCGATCTCATCTTGGGTGCAAACTACTTGAACATTAAGAACTTGTTAGATCTGACATGTCAAGCAGTGGCGGATATAATCAAAGGAATGACTCCAGAGGAAGTTCGTAATATTTTTAACATCAAAAATGACTACACTCCTAAGGAAGAAGAGGATGTCCGCAAGGAGAATCTATGGGCGTTTGAGTGAAACATGAAGCAGTTATGGGATGAATTTTTATTTTTTATTTTTATTTTTATTTTTTTTTGGGTTGTTAATACCCATGATAGGATTGCTATATATATATATATATATATATATGCTATTTAAATTCATGATTTTGTTTTTGGGATAATTACATTGACCTCCCTTGAAGGTTTGTAAATATACAGTGACCTCCCCTCATATTTGCCAAATAACACTGACCTCCCTTGAAATATGTATACTGCTAACATGGAACTCCCCCCTTAATGAAAACACTGTTTACTAACATAAAAGGATGATGCCAGCAATTTTTAAATTTCAAATTCCCATTCTACCCCTAAAACCAAGTAAATAAAGCAATTGAAATACCAAAAATAGCCCATATGAATTTCTCCTCTCTCCTCTCAGATTCTCTCTCCACTATTTTTCTCTCTGCACTCTCTTCCTCGTAAGCGAGCAACAAGAACCAGCGGCGGTGAAGAAAAACGTGGAACATCGGCGGCAAGTTTGGAGGACTGCGGTGCTCTGAACGGCTGTGAGTGCTAGCTTGGCAAGGAACGACGCGCAAAAACTCTGATAGTCAGCAAGGAAGACGTCTTACCGGTGGTTAAGCTTGCAGACTTGCAGTTCCTGTTGAATCGCACCCGCGACGACGGCGAACTGTCGATAGCGAGCTAGAAGTCTCCATTGATGTCGGCGGGAGTAGAACCTCAAAGCGCATCACCAAAATCAGCGAGAACAACTCAAAGAACATTTTTCGATGACGGAAAACCTCTATAAACTCCGGCACCAAGGTTGGCCAAGTCAATGTTGAAGTCTAGATTACTGGCATGTAAGCTTGGTGCTAGATTTTTTGCATTGGTAATAATAGTTGATGGCTAATTGTTCTGATCTCTCTCATTCTGTATATGTGCTAAATTTCTAGTACAGTTTTGCAGAAGTCAAAATTCAAATTAATAATGTGAGATGGTTGCTTGTGATTACATGAGTTAGCACCCAGCTGTTCATGCTGGTTATGTTTCGAATCCAAACAGAATATGAAGAAACAGAGTGTAAGCAATAACACATGGTACCCAAAACACCAACCTGTATTAAGCTGCACCACAATAACAATTAACAAAACTATAAATTAAAAAAAAAAATACAAATGAATAAATTAAAAAAAATAAAATACAACTATACATATAATTATATACAGCTAAATATGTTCATCAAAAAAAAAAAAAAAAAAAAACATTAATTTCAAATTCCAATTTTGTTTTCGGTTACATTTTATTTTCCTCTGCTGGTTTGTGTGTCCATTACCAAACAAATTATTGGTGTCACGTTTCGCTCAAGCCCCTTCCTTTCAGAGTCCTCCCATCTCCGGTGTAAACCGAGAACGCCATTTTTCCGCCGATTCTCCGGCCGAGGATCAGGTGAGGTGGAATTAGCTGGTCGTGGAAGAAGTCAGATTCCAAGCACCGAAACCACGAATTTCCACGAAAAGTCTGGGGGATATTCACGGGAACTGAATTCATTTTCTTCTTCTTCTTTTCTTCTTTCTCTTCGGCTTGTTCTTACTCAGTTCACGTGTATTCGAATAGCGAACTGAGAAGTTGCGTACATCATTAGTGGTTTCTGCATTTTCCGGGAAAATCACCTCGGATTCTTGGAGTTCTTCTTCCATGGAAAATGGGTATGGAAGAAAATTAGAGAGAGAAATAAATGGGGGTGTTTGGAAATTAAGGAATTGGAAATGGGTTTCCGGAGAAGAGAAAGAAATGTGAGAGAGAGGAGCTTTTTGTCTTTTCATTGTGTTCGTAATAAATACAATATAGATATAATAAGGCTAGAAGAGTAATTTCAATAGAACCCTTAACACCATCTACCTAAAAGGTCTAACAATGAAGGTTAGTGTTATTTTGATAAATAAAAGGAGATGTCAATGTATGTTGACAAAATTTAAAGGAAGGTCAGTGTGATTATCTCTTTATTTTTTTGCTTTGTGAAAACTTTCAACTTCCTTTCCAACAAATATGAATCTTCTTTATTGCCATGTTAAAACAACTCAAATCTATTAATTAAAAAGGATGATAAAGCTAAAGGATAGAACATTATAAAGTTGAATACAAAAACAAAATATCAAATACCTGGTGTGTGTGCATTATGGGACTCGCAAGGCAAATAATAAGCTTATGTACTTGTCCGATCATCGGAGAATAAGCAGACAGACAGTTGGATTCATGGTTTGGTTTCGGATATTTTTCAATTGCGCTGAAGATCGCAGAAGTCGGTCTATTTTACCACGTATGATTGAAGGGGAAATTATTAGATGGTCCTGATCTATTCGACACTGTATTTAACTAATCCACCAAGTATTAATGTTGTAGGACCATTTAATAATTTATCGAAGGAGAAAAAGACACATATATTTGGGTTGGGGCTTCAGATAATTGAGAATTGAGACTCCAAGCAAGCCTGGCTATATATGTAGGTTTGGCCCAAGCATACCGTCTGGCCTTCAGATGAGCCTAACTATCCATGGAAAGTTATTTATTTTCCTTCCGACCTTGGTAAGAAACTTTCAAATTCACTTTACCTTTGATAAGAAAATACCACTAGTCTATAACAGTATAACCCATATTATCAAATTGGGTATTTAATTTAATAATGCATTTTTTAAAATTTAATACTTCATGTTTTTTACAATTTAAATTTTTTTTAAATTTAAACTTGAAATATGTTTCTTGAAAACTAGATTTAATTAATGTTGATTCACTATTTGATAAAGTGGTGCCATATTTACAATACAATTTGATTTGCCTTTGCAGCAGTATCACGTAGTGAAAGTATTTAAGAAGTATGTTCATATCTAGGTTCTTTCTTAATAAAGTTGTGCTAAATCTAATTGACCAAATTAGAAAATTTAGAAGATTAGAGGAGTGACAGTTGTTTGATAAATAATGTGGGAACCACTGTGTGTGTGTGAGAGAGAGAATGGCCTAAACTAATATGGAATTAATTTATTAAATAATTAAATACTATAAGACATATGACTTATAATACAAAGCAATAAAATAAAATAAAAATAGATGGGCAGCCTTCTACATTAGACTAACTATTTGCCTCTTTATGAGAAAATAAGATAATGTATATCTGATTTTTTCAAATTTTGTAATGAAAAAGGAGCCTAGTTGAGTTAATATTTTTTTTTAATTAAAAAGGTGATTTATGTAACCAATTACGCTTATGTTAAATTTATGTAAGAATAAATTTATGTAACCAATTAACCACGGTGATTTATGTAACCAATTAGCCACGGAAAGAGAGAAAATAATAATAACAATAAAATAATTGTTTTAAGAAGCCCATATGACATATTAGGGCAACACATAAGTGGCTGCAATTTTCAGGGAAACACTTTGTTGAGACACCTAATTACCATTTTACCTTTTAGGAGTAATTAAATTTTAGAAAGTTAGAACTCATAATGTTTTTTTTAAGCATTAGAGATATTACGGATAACTTCTTTTTCATTTATTAAAAATTATTATTATTTCTCTAATTTTTTAATGGGGAATTAAAAATTTTAGCTAGTACATAGGTGTTGCCATATTGTGGTGTTCTTTGGTGAAGGGTAATCTAGTAAATTCACAAACAATGAACAAACGCATAAATCTTAATTTCCTATCAAGCAACAATGAAAAAGAAGCAGAGTATCTGACCTTTGTTCAATTCCTGTCACAGCGACCTCAATCAAATACACACTAAAGTACCGGCAAAATACATGTGAAAGTTAATCCCAAATTTCTCATAATATACTAAAACAATATAGTGCATAGTGAAAGTTAATATAGATTAGAAGGTCATGGAGTAGTCTTCTATCTGTATGTTAGTCCTGATTCTGTACAGCAGAATGTGGGACTACAGAATGCTGTAAAATAGAAAGATAAAACACGGCCTTGCTTATTTGCACCATGACTGTGTCCCTCCCATTGTTCATAGAGACATCAAGGCCAATAACATCCTTCATTGGTCTCGAATTCGAGCCTTACAATGCTGATTTTGGGCTAGCCAAGCTCGTCAATGATGATTATTTTGCCAGATCCTACACAGTTGCAGGTTCCTGTGGATATATTGCTCCTGGTAAATATATTTTCCTCCAACACAATAGTTCAATAGTCATATGCTTCTTATATTCGTCATATTTGAATGTGAACTTATTATAATATTGACTTTTTAGCATGTTTTGAAAATCTTTACGTTAAAACACATGGTCTTGACTCTGTTTACAACTATGTTACAAGTGATTTAGAAAGATTTTGATTTGGCTGGTGGCCTAATTTTCATGCTTCTCAAGTAGTTTCTCACATAAGTAAATCAACCCCAATTTAGCAATCTAGTTCTGATTCTAGTTCTCCTTTTCAAAATATGGCTACATGATGAAGATCACAGAGAGGAGCAATGTTTATAGCTATGGTGTGATTGTATTGGAAGTTTTGACAGGGAAACAACCAATCGATCCAACCATACCGGATGGACTACATTTAGCGGATTGGGTGAGGCAAATGAGGGGTGGAATTCAAGTCCTTGATCCAAGCTTGCTAGCAGGATCTGAATCAGGATCTGAATCTGAACAACAAAGAAAGAAAGGGTTATATCAATCATTCACCATGATTTTCTTCCCCTCTATAAGTATTACTTTCACTGCAAGTGAAGTAAAACTACTTTTTCTTTTCACACTCGCACCACCACCACCATGCCACCTCCTCCTCCCTGCCCCCAATAAAACGAAAACCTTTCGTAAAAAAATAATATTAATAAAAGGAGGAGGAAGAAGAGAAAAAATGTATCTAGTAACCTTTATTGGGCATTTTACATTATATTTAATAGAAAATTCCTGTTAATCAAGTTTCTCTCAACATATATCCTCTCACCTACAACTACTCAAACAATAATCCATGCAGCATATCCAATGGCATTTGGATGATTGTTAATTTTTTGAGACACTTGCCATTTTAATTTTTAGGGATAATAAAATTTTAGAAAGTTGGAATGTGAGATATCAAACACGAGTCATATATGCTATTTTTATTACACATACTTTTTTACAATTTACCAAGTGTTTAGAGATTTCACTTTAGTTTCCTTTTGTTGATAGGATTTGTTATATTTTCCAGTTTCCTTATCCTGTTAGTTTCCTAATGGTATTAGGTTTCCTTATTCTTTTGTCCTTACGGTGTTAGGGCACCTTATTATAAATACATGCAGTACTGAGATTATTCATTAGTTCTATTGGTCTGC